TCCGTGCGTCCGTAGCGCTCAATGCCCCGCGGCCAGTCGTGCGAGAGCATAATGTCGATCGGCGACTCGCGCTTCTTGAGGTGGCCGAGCTGGTAAACTTGAAATTCGCGCACGTGGTAGATGCTGCGCATCGTGCTCTGGTCGTACGGGTACGATTCGTGGTGACCGAACGTAAAGTCGTGCGGCTTGTAGATGCCCGAGAGACCGGCAATGCGCACGCCGTTGACGTTGACGACACCGGCCGACCCGAGGTAAAAGATGTTGGGCGCCACGTACCCGCCGTAGTAGAGGTCCTGCAGGTAGTTGGAGGCTTCGTGGTTGCCGCCAATGAAGATCGTGAGCACGGGCGCGACCTTGGCGCCAGTGTAGTACTCGTGGAAGACGCCAAGCTCCTTGTACTTGTCCGGGCACGCCATGCAGTGCATGTCGGTCTCGTTGCGGAAGCTCTGAAAGTCGCCGCAGCAGAGGAGGAGCTGGATCGGCCGCTCCGGGTCCATCGTGTTCATGTGCTCAATCGTCGCGTACATCGCATCGAGCTGCCCATGGCTGCATCCAACCACCGCCACTCGCAGCGCGCTCATGATGCTTCTCCGTGTCCACGGACGGGTGCAGTGGGCGGATTCGGCATTTCCCACGCCACCACTGGTTTTAATTCGGCATCATATGCCGAATCCTATCGACTGCCCTTCCGGCGCTCTACCGTAAGCCGGATGTCGCATCGCTTGGCTTCCCACGCTAGTATACGTAGCTGGTGCATGGGTAGTGTTGTTGGAAGCGCACCTGCGGTCTCGGTGCGGCGTCGGACGGTGGTCGTGACATGCCACTTTTAAATTTGTATATTCGGCATGTGCCGAAAGCGACACCGCCAGCGCCATTTTGCCCAATCCGATGGCGAGAATCGAAATTATTTCATTTGGCATACAAACATCAAGTGATAGAATCAAGGCGGCGCCGACCGCCTGCCACTAAAGCTTTCTGGGCAGGTGTATCTTGCGCAGTAGGGCGACGAGGATGCATGGACACATGATGGCCGGCCATGGCATGATGATGGCGCAGCCGCAGTACGACTACTACGACCAGTACCCGGAGAACGAAGAGTGGACCGAGATTGCGCGGCTCGCGCCGGCGGGCGCCGCCCACGCTGTCGGCGCCGTGGCTTTTGACCCGTGCCAAGAGGTGCTCTGGACGGGCCACGCCAACGTACGTCGGTCACTCGGTTGCATGGTCAGCCGCATCAACGACGCTATGCTAGGGACGGCTCACGGCGCACCTCCTCCCGACGCTCGAGAAGTACTCGAGCGTCATCTCGAACGCTGGCGCGATCAAGACGCTGATTCCATGCTACGAGTATGTGTCTCTGGCGCCAAAAGCCGGCGACGACGATTTTTGCGTCTAGTGGCATCGTCGCGATCTCCAAGTCGATGGCGGTCTTCCGGTCGCGCGGCTGCGTGCACAACGACACGGTCGCCGTCGACCACTCGCGCGGCGCGCTCACGTGCGGTCACCTCCGCCCGTACGACAGCAACAAGCCCAACGACCACCTCCTACTCGGCAACTCGTTGGGCTGCGTCGCGGCCTACGACCTCCAGGGCCAGCTCAGCCACCCGCTGCACAAGACGCCGATGCCGGTGTGGTCGATGGACTTTTACCACGGAAGCAAAATTGCCATCACGGCCCTCGCGTCACACGACGATGCGCCCATGATGTGTGCGGGCAGCGCCACCGGGCAGCTCGACCTCTTTGACAGCAGCTTGCGCTCGCACCGCGTCGAGTGCTCGATTCCGAACGCGCATGCGGGCAACATCGTCTCGATGGATATGCATGGTCACTACATTTTGACGTGCGGCGTCTCCGCCCGTAGCATCAACCCGTACGACAAGAACGCGCCCGTCAAGGTACTCTGCTCTCTTTGTTGAGCGACACTTAGTAGTGTTAGGTGTACCCGGACCCGCTCATCAAGCTGTTTGACGTGCGCACGATGGGCCTTGTCCAGTCGATGCCGTTTCCCGGGGCGGCGTCGCCGAGCTACGTGCAGTTCCAGCCGCACGCGCAGGGGTCGCACTACTATGCCGGTAGCCGCGACAGCGACTTGTACCTCTTTGACATCACCGAGCCGGGGTCGTATCAGTACACGCCCCTCGGCCCGCTCGGCGCGAATGCGTCGGCAATGACCTTTGCATCGTCCGGCGAGCTCCTCGCGCTTGGTGCGCCCGACGGCGGCGTCGTTCTCTACGACTCGTCGCAAGCGTCGAATCCCAAGGCGCTTTTGGACGACCCGTTGCTGCCGCTGGCCTTTCCCGCGTCGTTCCAAGCGCCGCCGCTCGCCTTGTCGCCGCTCGAGCCCGCGCCCGCGTCCCGGTACCTCTTTCGCCCGACGATCAACGACTACGGCGAGGCGATCCCGCCGCTCTCGTCGTGGCTGCCACCCCATATGGACTCGACGCTCAAGCACGAGGTGACGCTCGTGGTCGCGCCCAAGCCCACCAAAGTGCTCGACCCGAATTTTGCGGCGCGGATCCAGCAAAAGGACACCATTGTACGCAGTGCATCGATTGGTATATCGCACGAGTTGAGGTCGCGGTTAGGGCTTTACGCAGCACGGCGGCGTTCCGAAAAACTCATTTGTGTATGGCCAAGGGCGGTCGGCGGCCGTCGCGACCGTGGACCCGCGCTTTGTCGACAAGAAAATGACGCACCGAACCGCGTCGGCCAAGTCATTTGACGAGTCGGACCCGTGCCACGTCCCGCCACGGTACGATCCAAGTATCCTTCGTATCCAATCTGCATGCCTGGATAGATACAAGTACAAGGAGATCAAGATGAGCAAGCACGGCATGGACGGCTTTATGTTTGATTTTGCCAAGCACAATGGCACGCGCTTTGTCGGGCTCGAGAACTCGCTGCCGTTCTCCTACATCAACGCGCTCCTGCAACTGCTCTACTTTGTGCCCGAGCTCCGCACGCACGCGCTCCTGCACCTCTGCGACGCGCCGGTCTGCGTCACATGTGAGCTCGGCTTTCTCTTCCACATGATGAACGAAGCGAGCGCGAAAGCACCGCGCCACGCCAAGAGCTGCCAGCCCACCAACCTCCTCACGACACTGCGTCAGGTACCTATCGGTCGTTCACTTGATACATTGAAGTTGATGGCGAATCAGGTGCCGGCGGCGACGACCTTGGGGCTCTTTGACACGACCACGTCGATTCTGCCGCGCGCCGACGCCTTCTTTGGCCTCCTCGTCGACACATTGGGACTGCCGTCCGTGCAGCGCATCACGCTGACGTACCCGACCGACCCGGCTGCGCTCCGCGATGCGACCTTTGCCGACGTTGTGAGCGAAAGCCTCTCGGGGCTCCCGGCACCGACGCTGTGCCTCCAAACGGGCGTCGCCGACTGGCTCGAGACGCCAGATATCAAGGAGCTGTGGGCGACCGAGAAGGCGAGTGGCGCAAGCTGGGTGCCCATGCAGTTCCGGGTCGCGGTCACGGACGGGATTGTCGTTGTCCACGAACCGACGACCGACGCAGAGTGGACTCCGGCTGACGATGATTACGTCCTCGTCGGCGTCGCGGCCGGGGTCGTCCGCGATGTCCGCCGAAGCCATCTCGTGAGTGGCCACAACGCGCACCTCGTACGTATTTTTGGCGTATTTTTAACGTATTTTCCGGGACATTTATGGTTTGAACTGGTAGATTGCGCATATCTTGGACCCGGACGTCACGAGCAGTCGGTCGAGTGACGACGAGCACAACTGGCTTCTCTTCAACGACTTTAGCGTGACGCCGACAGTCGGGTTGGACGCGGTGGCCTTTCACGTGCCATGGAAGTTTCCGTCCGTGCTCGTCTACCGCCAACGCGCGACACTGCGGGCGATCGCGACACCCGAGCCGACGGTCGACATTCCGACGTCCGTGTTCCACGCGCCATCGGTGACGCCGTCGTCGTCATCGTTCACGCCACTCGAGTTGGCGACGCTGCCTCAAAAAGGCGACCGCGTCGCGATCGACACGGAGTTTGTCATTGTGGAAATGGAAGAAGCGACGCTTCAGACCGACGGCACGCGTACGTCCCTTCAATTATCTACCAGTAGCTATATATCGGATTCTTCTATTGTGGATTAGGGGTCGTCACGAAGGAAAGCCGACAAGCCCTGGCGCGCGTGTCGCTCATCCACGGCGAAACCAACACGGTGTTTGTCGACGACTATGTCCTTCCGAGCGAGCCGGTGCGCGTTACTACCGAGTGCTGGGACTAAGCACTGATGGGTCTTGGGTAGGTTGTCGACTACCTCACGCGGTTTAGCGGTCTTGTGGCCGACGACCTCAACCCGAGCGTGAGCCGGCACCACGTTGTGCCGCTCAAGGCCGCATACATGAAGCTCCGGTACCTCGTCGACCGCGGCTGCTTGTTTGTCGGCCATGGCCTCGGCAAGGACTTTCGCATTGTCAACCTCTTTGTGCCGCCCGAGCAGGTTTCTCCATTTTGCGATGTATTTGGATACTAGGATATAAATTAGATCATCGACACGGTCGAGTTGTACCAGCAGCCCAATATGCGCAAGATCGCGCTGCGGTTCCTGATCGTGTACCTCTTCAAGGCGCACATTCAGCTCGAGACGCACGACTCGATCGAAGACGCGCGCGCCGCGCTCATGCTCCACAACAAATACCGCGACCTCATGAGCAAGCACGAGTTTGAGCGCACGCTCATGGAGATTTACGCGGCGGGGCGCCAAAGCCGCTGGAAGATCGCCGACCTCGAAGAGTAACGATGCACTCGAGTAGGAACGACAATGCAAATTAATACTGTGGATGCAATAACGTGGTGTCCTCCAAGAAGGGACTCGCCAAAAGAACAGTAGTACGCAGTGCGACCCAAGACGGAGAAGGCCAAATCCAGCAGCTTGCAGTTGAGGCGGTGCAGTTGACAAGGTACTGAGTATGTTCACAATGGCAGAGGTTGACCAGGGGATCGATCGACCGGGGCCCAAAGCCACTGACTCCTCGCACAAACAAGCACATGAATTCATCTTTAGAGCTCCATTTATGGGCTTAGAGATCTAGGTTGATCGAGATGGTGTTGCCAAAGAGGTTGAGTTGCTTGCGGAAACCCAGCTTGAGGTCGCGCGTCGGCAGCCCGCGCGCCGTCCACGACTTGGGCACGTGCATTGTGCTCGTCAAGCGCGGACTCACGGCCACGTGCTCCGGCCATGGGTCGCAGGCTGCAATGGCGCCCGAGCCAAACACTGTCCCGTCGAGCGCCTTCATCGCCTGCGTGCACACCTCGCCGCTGCCGACGACCGACGCCAGCACGCGCTCGGCGAGGAGCGACGTTGCGAGCACCTTGCCCGAGCCGCTCACGTCGACGATGTGCTCGCCGACTATACCGGCTTCGTAGTACCGGATCGCGCCCGAGCCCGTGACCATCGACATGAGCTTGTCGGTGCCAAGGTGCGACGCGTCCAGCAAAATGTCGCCCGAGCCCGTCACTTTCGTTGCCATCGTCGGCGCGCGCAGGTGCAGCGCGTGGAAGTGCGTCGAGCCCGAGCCGACAACGTCGACTTGGAGGCCGGCGTGCAGCGTCAGGTTGGGGGCGTCGACCTGGATGAGCCCCGAGCCGCGAAGCACTGTGTGGAGCTGCTGCAACACCGTGTCCTTGGTAAAGTGCACAAAAATGGCGCCCGACCCAATCTTCTCGACGATCGCGTGGTGCGCGAGCGTGCCGTCCTCGAGCACGAGCTCGCTGCTGCCGACCGACTCGACCGCCCGCAGCGGTTGCGCCTCGTCGAGGAAGATTTCCATGAGCACGCGGCCTTCCACAGTGGTCGCGTCGCGGCTCAAATCGAGGACGCGGCTACCAAGCTTGTACATGTGCACTTGTGCTTTGATGGCTTCGAGGTCGGCCGGGGCGCCCGTGAAGACCACAGTCGTGTGCTTCTCCGAGTGTGTGCTGACAAACACCTTGCTGCCGCTCACGCCTTCGCGCAGCGCGTGCACGTGCGTCTCGTCGAACGTCAGCACCTTCTTCTGACTCGTGGTGTCGTCCACGGGCGGCGTCGTTGGTGTTGCGGTCGTGGTTGAGCTGCCCATGAGGAGGATTGTTCGAAAGTGATCGACAAGAAGCAGCGGTGTCGAATGTTGGGACCAACGTCTCGAGAAAGTTCGCTGCTATAGCAACGGGCACATGTGACGCAACTGGGGCAAGCCACCGCGGGACGTGACGTCGGCCGAGGTGAGAGCGTTCGACAATCATGCAGTTCAACGAGCTGGAAGCGCCATGGTTGGCTAGCTTTACCAAGTGCTATACGGTGCACGCTTCTAAGCACTGGAATTTGCCAGCGCACAAAAGAGTCTTCTTTGGCAAGGAGCGCGGAGCTTGTATGCGTCTACCTCGGCAGCTCGGACCTCCAACTGCGAGCTGCCATGGGTCAATCTTGCTTATTGACCCTTGGAGCTGCCCATCGCTGCATGGACAGGACGCCACGATTGCACAACGCACTTAAGTGGGTGCATCGATTAAGTGCGTATGGCAATTGCCACGAGGCAGTCACAAGTGGACACGTCCAGGATGTTGCCCCGAACCAGTGGCGGTCGCCGCCCCCATGGCCTCGCTGCGGGCGGCGCGAACAGCGTGACCAAGCTCATTGCGATCTGCGTCGCCTCAGTCATGGTCGTCTACTTCATCTGGATGCAGCGTGCGCTGTCACCCGCGACGCCAGCGAGCTTGCACGAGGCCGCTGCGCTCGACGAGGTGGTCCCGACCGTCCACGCCACGCGCCAAACGCGCAAATGGACGCGCAAGCCCGGTCGCCGCTACGTCTGGATCGACATGAGCATTGATGGCAAGAAGGCGGGGCGCATCACGGCCGAGGTATAATGCTCCACCAACCCGTCGCAGTTCCACTCCACCATCTCTAGCTCTTTATGGACATTGTGCCCAAGACGGCCGAGAACTTTCGCGGTCTCGTCACGGGCGACAACGCGCTCGGCCTCCAGTACAAGGGCTCCAAGTGCCACCGCATCATCAAGAACTTTGTTGTGCAGTGCGGCGACTTCGAGACGGGCAAAGGCTACGGTGGCAAGAGCATCTACGGCGGCAAGTTTGGTACAAAGTCCAATCAATTCGCGACATAGCGGCTCATGTATGTGGGATAGCGGACGAGCCCGAGGGCCTCAAGCTCGAGCATAGCAAGCGCTACGTTCTCCAGATGGCCAACTCGGGGCCCAACAGCAACGGATCGCAGTTTTGCTTTATGCTCAGCGCCGCGCCGCACCTCAATGGCCGCCACGTGGTCTTTGGCGAAGTCGTCGACGGCTTCGAGGTCGTCGACGCGATGGAGACCTCGGGCGTCGAGCAGGACGGCGTCCATCTCGACCACAACGTGGTCTTTGTCGATGGCGGCGAAATCTTTGATTAGTCATCAATCGAACTACAACTTCGACATGCTTACTTTGAACTTCGCTCTTGGTGGTCTTTTTGGTTTGTGGCAGTTTGACATGGTGGCAGGCAAGTTGGACGGAGGCCGCCCGCGCTCCGGCCGCAACGCGTCGACTGCCATGATCGTCGGCGCCGTCGTCGCGCTCTTCATCGTCTACACGATCGTCATGCACAGCGTCTTCTCCGTGCCGGCGGCGGCGGACAGCGAAGGCTATCACATTGGCCAGCGGGTGGACGCCAAGGCGGTGCACGATCCCGCGGCAGTCCCGCATCCGGGCGACGACGCGGAGCCACCGACCGCCATGCATCTCTGGGTGCGCAAGCCTGGCCGCCACTACGTGTGGATCGACGTGACGATCGATGGCGTGGCCGCGGGCCGCGTCACGGCCGAGGTACGACGACCGCAACGACCTCGTCCAATGGATGTTGATGAACGATGTGACTAGCTCTACATGGACATTGTGCCCAAGACGGCCGAGAACTTTCGCGGTCTCGTCACCGGCGACAACGCGCGGGGCTTTAGCTACAAGGGCTCGCGCTGCCATCGGATTTTAGCCAACTTTGTCGTGCAGTGCGGCGACTGGGAACGTGGCAACGGCACGGGCGGCAAGAGCATCTACGGCGGCGACTTTGGTACTTATCAAATCTCGTGCAAAAGAGACTCATTCCGATGCGGTAGAGGACGAGAAGGCGGGCTTGGCGCTCGAACACAGCAAGCGCTACGTGCTGCAGATGGCCAACGCCGGACCGAACACGAACGGCGCGCAGTTTTGCTTTATGCTGGCGCCACAGCCGCACCTCAACGGCCACCACGTCGTCTTTGGCGAAGTCGTCGACGGCTTTGAGGTCGTCGACGCCATGGAAGCCGCGGGCGTCGCCTCCGACAGCGACAAGCTCGCGCGCGACGTGGTGCTGGCCGACGGCGGCGAACTCTTCCACTAGGCAACTCCCCATTGCTTTTTGCAGCATCTCATTTCAGGCTGTAACCTCAGCGACTACGTATTCCATGAGATGCATGTTTGTCAGTGATGTTGTTGTTCCCTTTGATTTCTGGAGTACGACGTCAGCGTCATGGGTGCCCCTGGCGATGTCGTCGCACGAGAAACGGCTACTACTGACCAGTGCGACAGCAGTCCAGCGTATTTGATACCGGTGTATTCTTGTCTTTTGTTAGAGTAGAGCATTCGGTTGTATAGTACTAGTAGCAAATGCGATAGATCAATTTACGTCGAGTAGGAACTATAAAACTTGCAGCGTCCTTGTTTGTTAGTTGATTGTTCATATGTCGCAAGACGGGTATTAGGGCCGATGGTTGGATATTATTGTCGTTAGACGGAAAACTGTGCGTTGAGCACCGAGCTGCTACGCGTGTACAAGATCGACGAGCCCCGGGACGACGCGAGCGACGACGGGCTGCCCATAAAATCCTTGAAGAGATGGCTGTCGCGCACGGTGGCAAAGAGCGACGTGTCGCGGTCGCTCGACGCCTCCGAGTTGACCGAGTAGCGCAGCGACTTGTCCGTGAAGCGTGACGTGTAAAACGACGGCACGCGCGTGCTGAACGGCGGCGTGCAACTGCGACTCTCTGGACTTTCATGCGCCAAGATGCAAGTGGGCGGCGCATCGACACTCACGAGCCGCGGCTTTTCGTCGTGCAAGACCGGTGTCTCGCCGTCCGAGTGCAAGGATGAAGGCGACGACGAGTCGAGAGGGCTCAGCTCTGGCTCGGTGCAGGGACGACCGACCTCTTCAAGGAGCGTCGGTGGCGTCAGCGGCCCAAACCGATCGTAGTACGGCGACGCTGCCATTTGCGCTGGCACGGTCGATCGACGCGCGGGCGCTCGGCGGAGCAAGTAGCACACGAGCATTGAGCCGAGGAGGATGACGAACAGCGCTATGTACAAGAGAAGGACGACGCTGCTTGCATCGGGGGCGGCGGTGGCCTTGGGCGGCAGCGACAGGACGGCTTGCGTCGCGGGCAGAAAGGTCGCATTCCCGTGCGTCACGGACACATTGACTGTCGGCGCTGCCGCCCGTGGCATCGCCGTCCCGTTCGGAAGCAGTCGTCGCAGCATATTCTTTCAATGGCGTTTGAAGCCGTCGTTGAAAAGTGGTCGACGTCGTTTTTACCACTTTCGACGTTTTTACACGTTGGTATATGAAAAAGTTTATGGGTTCTAGAGCTCATAGCGTGCAGGTACTGACGGTCACAGGTCGTTTCCATGACGCGAGTAACCCTACCCTCGATAGGGGAAGGGTTTGTGATCGGGCTTGAGAGGGCAGCGCGCTTGTCAGTCGCACCAAAGCACCACATTCGCTCGCATCTGGTCGAATGGCCGTCGTGGTGCCGGCGGCGATCGGCACCCAAGAAAAGATGCAAACCACGGCGCCGTTGAGCAAGGTACGCGACTACGTCCGGCGCCGGACGAGAGCGGATAAGGCCCGAGGCTGCCAGCCTCGCATGTTGAAACAAGCGGTTACCGAGCTTTCGGCAATGTGGGGCACGGTGAATTGGCCAGCGTTGACCGTGGGCGCTAGTGCTCCACCAGAAGAACAGGAGTCATCCTAGCAATCGAAGTAAACGGCTGCTTGGACATATGAACGTACCAGTGGTGTCGCCAAGAATGTCTCGTGAGGCGACGCTGAGCGTGGGCAGGCGTTGGGCAGTCCTTCACGGCGAAGAGCCCGCGCTTGGCTGTCGACGACATGCGCCGCGAGCGAGGCGCGCAGCGCGGAGCGAGGAGCAAGTCATGGTGGTGACATACCCGATTGATGGTCGAGGTGACTGAGAATTTGTCAACCATACCAGCTGCCCATTGGCAGCCGAACATCGCGACCATCCGGAAGGACCAGTCGACCAAAGATACCGCGACGGCAACCGAGATGGGCGCTTCCTCGACGTCATGGCGATCGTCAAGTTACGCCGCCAGGATTGATGAGGATGACCTTCATGCACCTTCTTCGCGCGTGCTCCACTCGTCCGCCGATGTCAACTCGTACGTTGGAAGAGCACTTGCGTTTGCAGTCAAGACGAGCGCCTCGCCGCGACCGCCATCGTAGGAGGCCTAGTCAAGGCGATGGAGAGGGCGGCAACGTACTCGTATGGTGCTACGCCGACGATCGTCAAAGGCTGCGCTGTGTTCGCGATGGGCGGCGAACGGCCATGTCCATGATGTCCTCCACTGGTGCTTCTCGGTGGACGCGCCGGCCTTGCGCTCATCCTGTGCAACGGGCGCCTTGAAGTGACCAACAAGACTACTAGCAATTCGCCTCTTTGTTGCGGTCCAAAGTGTATCTTATCTCTCGACTGTCGGCAGCACAAAGGTGGCCTTGAAGGCGTCTAAGCTGCACTCTCTCGCGCGCGGTCTACGCCGGCGAGGGCACCGACATGCGCGAAGCCGGCGCCTCATTTTGGCGGGACGCTCGACACCGGCATTTTTGAAACCTTAACCACACTATTGCATCGCAGTGGTCTCGATGCGATGCCAGTACGCTGCAGGAAGATCGACGTCGTCGCCAACGCGCGCCGGCGAGCAACATGCTTGGCCTCGTCCCTGCCACATCCACGACCATGCGCGGGTGGCGCAAGGGGGTACTGCGGCGCGGCATTCTGGGATATGCAAGTGTGACTGGCCGATACGTAGATGGGCCCGCATGATCAGGACGCCGGCTCGGCGCAAGGCGTCCTGGCAACTTCCTCGCAGCACTGCCGAGGGCGAAGATCGCGCCGGTGCTGATGATGCGCGTATGCGTCGACCCAGACCGGTCGAGATGAGTCCGACGGCGCCGCTCTTCGATGCGCCTCGCTGCCGCGTACATCGACGCCGGGGCTCATAAGCGATTTTTTTGTCGATACTCTATACGCCCGACGACCCCCAGACGCCGTCGCGTCACCCGATAGCTCGGCATTTTGGCTGATGCAGTGCAAGCTACTAGCAAGTGCCGTCGGTATCTTTTGAGACAGAAAGTGCAACAAAATGGCACCCACATAGCATGAGAAGACGACATGTCTGTGTTGCCAAGATTGCGTGATATATATTGGCGCCTTCCTGTGACGAGGTGCCTTTGATGGGGCAAAGCAGCTGGATGGATGCGTGTACAACTTGTCTGCAACCTGAACCGTCGTCCTGGCGCCGCGTCGAGCGCTATCCTATCGAGTCCTAGTAGCCAATGGCGAGGAGGCACAATCTATTATAGTCGACTACTCTAGTCGAGCGAGGGATGGTGCAAGCAGATCGTGGCTCAGTCCTCGATGCCCTGCAGAGCGCGGTCGAATTACCGCTCTTTCTCCGCGCGATGATTGGATGAAATTCAAATACGCATTGATGATTGGCTTAAAATATGCAGGCAATTTGTGAACCACCCTGGCGTTGAAAGCACTGTGAATTCGTATGATGGAGGCGACAGCAGCCGATGGCCACAGCCTGGCGCCGGTCGCGGCCGCGCCGCCGGCCACTGCATCCCCCGCCGGCGCCAACGACCGCGACATGACGTCAAATGACCCGGACGACGCGGCGCCGCTGCCTCCGCCGACGCCTACGGACGATACGGCCGCAGCTGCCGACGGGCCGTCGGCCGATGTGGACATGGGCAGCGCCGACGTATTAGACGCTGCGACCGCGTCGCCGATGGATGCCAATGACGAAGTCGAGGCTGCGCCGTCGGAAGGCAATGCGACGGACGCTGGCGAGCCGGAGGTCGAGGCCGGCGCCGGTTCGACGGCCGATTCGGTGGACGAGACGGCGACGATTCAAGATACCACAGTTCTTCATGACGCATCCGAGGCGCAAACAACCGGCGCCAAGACGACGCCGTCGAGCGAGGCCAAGGCAATTGACGGCTCACTCAAGCGCAAGCGCAGCGAAGACGCGGGTAGCGTGGCGCCGATCGTGTCGCGGGACGAGATGGCCAAGAAGGAAGAGGACGTGGGCGTGCTCGAGTTTGACGTGATCACGAACGACGGAACGCCGGACCGCATGATCCAGCTCATGACGCTCAAGAACATCTTCTCCAAGCAGCTGCCCAAGATGCCCAAGGAGTACATTGTGCGCCTCGTCTTTGACCGCAACCACCACTCGATGGTGATCCTCAAGAACAAAAAGACGGTCGTCGGCGGCATTTGCTACCGGCCGTTCTTGGCAAACCACTTTGGCGAGATCGCGTTCTGCGCCATTACGGCGAGCGAGCAGGTGAAGGGGTATGGCACGCGGCTCATGAACCACCTCAAGGAGTACGTCAAGACGCAGGGCATCTCGCATTTCCTCACGTACGCCGACAACTATGCGATCGGGTACTTTAAGAAGCAAGGCTTCTCCAAGATCGTCTCGATGCCCAAGCCCAACTGGTTCGGCTACATCAAGGACTACGACGGCGGGACCCTCATGGAGTGCTGCATCCACGAGCACATCAACTACCTCGACATTACGTCCATGGTCCAGACCCAGCGCAAGGTACACACAAAATGCATCTTGCGTCAACCTCATCATATTCCACGGAATTGTCTAGATGCTCATGGAGAAGATCCAAGCACGCTCCCATGCCCATGTCGTTTATCCGGGCTTGACGACCTTTTGTGAAGCACGACTCGTCGACGTTTACTCGGTGCCGGGTGTCCGTACGGTCGCCGACGTCGCTCTCCTCATCTGACTCGCGTGGTGGCGTAGGCGAGGCCGGCTGGTCGCAGACGATCATCCGCAACAACCGCATCGGGTACGTCGTCCGTCGCAGCCAAGCAGGAACACTCACACAGTTTATTCGGGTGCGTAGGAGCCGCGAGCCAGGGAGCTTGAAAGCGCAGCTCCAGACGCTCTGGAAGTCGCTCTCGAACCACCGCAGCGCGTGGCCGTTCCACGAGCCGGTCGACACGCGGCTCGTGACCGACTACCTCGAGATCGTCAAGACGCCAATCGATTTGACGGCGATCGCCAAGCGCATTGAGGAGAATGCGTACGCCAACAAGGCGGCGTTCAAGGCCGACCTTGTCCTCATGTGCGACAACTGCATGCTGTACAACTCGAGCGACACCAACTACTACAAGTACGCCCCTCGCTACCTACAGCGAGGCGACTTATGCGACGACATCGTGTAGGGCCGCCAAGGACCTCCTCGAATTTGTGCACCGCAAGGTCGAAGTCGACGACGCTGGGCCATCAGCGTACAACAGCAAGACGCAAAAGAAGGCGTTCTCGCGGTAGATGCGTCCGACCCATGTATTTGCAGTTTAAAAAAAGTATCAAGCGTCGCCGACGATGTCGCACCCGTCAAAGCGACCACCCCATCCTCTGTGACTCATAGTACGCAGGCTCGCTGCCACCACAAGCAGTCGCCACCCCAAGCAGCCACGCCCTCGAGGTCGTTCACTGGCGCGTGGCAGCATACTCGTACATCTTAGTAGCTGCAGCTTCCATCACGTTCGTCGCCGTGTTCGACCATCCTCTGCGCCTTCCATCCTTAGCATGCTTCTAGCCATTGTATCGTGCATGGCATGTCATTGCTTCTAGCATGCACAGGTCGCCATCCTGGTCGGTGGTCGCGACGAGTGTCTCTGCTGCCCGGTTTATCCGGATAAACCTCCACAAGTGGATAGTGCTGTATCGAAAGAGAGAGGATGACACAATGGGCGAGAGCCAACGGTTTATCGCTGGTGCGCACGGCGAGCTTGGAGCGTGCACTCATCATTTTTTGAAGACAAGAACGATGGCTTTGACCAAGGAACAACACGATGAACTCTGCGTCGCCTACGCGTCCATGATCCTCTTCGACGGCGAGGCCGAGATCACGTCGGAGGCCCTCGCCAACGTCATCGTCGCCTCGGGCAACGAAGTCGAGCCGTACTGGCCCATGCTCTTCGCCAACCTCCTCTCGCAGGACGGCAAGATGCTCGAACTCATCACGTCGGGCGGCCCGTCGTCGGGTGCCGCTGCCCCGGCTGCCGCTGGCGCTGCCGCCCCGGCCGCCGCCGCTGCCGACAAGAAGGAAGAGAAGAAGGAAGAAGAAGAGGCTGACCTCGGCGGTGGCATGGACATGTTCGGCGGTGGCTCGGACTATTAAGCTAATGCATCGAGTTTAGTTGTAACTGAGATATGTAGCTGTCGACGACGATTCAACTCGACGACACAAAGCTAATATATGCCAGGAGACCTCTTGCCTTCACACGCGATTCTTATTCTCGTCTTTCTCTTGCCTTGCCAACACCAGGCCACCGCACCTCGATGGGCCGCGACGAGGAGCCCAAAGCAGTGACAGCTTTCGAGCGACGTTGACCGGAGCAACAACCGCGCGCCATCGCTGTCGACCTTTGCCTGAAAAAAAGCGCACCGTTGGTAGCAGCCTTCCTCATCTCTTGGACTCCGCGCCTCTACTCGTTGCCATCAGCTCGACAAGTGTCCAAAGACGTACGTGCGCGCGACGCCGTCGTGGACGGCGGGTGCGGCTGAGTGCACTTGCGTGTGCAACGCTCGCTACGCCCTTGGCGGTCCTCTACCGCGCCGCCTCGCACCGTCATCGTCATTTCAAGATTGGCGCTCGTTCGACGACTTACCACCATGACCAGCATGGTACGCTACTCGACGTTGCTGCTACTGGCACTCGCGGTTGCGACCGCTGCCGCCGAGTCGTCGTCGTGGAGCATGAAGAAGGTGCGGTCGATCCAAGCGCGCGTGCAGGCGACCGCCCCCGTGTACGACACCAACAAGCAGGCGTGGGTCGCGCTCTTTCAGAAGGGCACCGATACGTTCACGCAGCGATATCGCGCGGCGATGGACACGATCAACACGGCGAGCGTCGAGGGCGCGCTCATGTACGTGCAGGCCGAAGGCATCGACAAGCGCGTGAACCCCAACTGCATGCGCAAGGTCAACATGAGCTACGTGTGGTTTTACGACATTACGATCGTGCAGCCAACGGCCGCGATCGCCGAGTTTGGCGAAACCGCGCCGATGGCCGAGTACTGTCCGTTTGTCGCGCTCGACCTCGGTATGTGCACGCCGATTGGCGTCGAGATTCCCGCCGAGTGCAAGGAGATTGACGGCCTCGACGGCTTTCCCAAGCTCGGGCCGTGTGTGGGCGGCGAGCCACGCAAGGACGACCCGCGCGCGCCGTATGAAAACAACATTTGGTTCTCGTACCCGAACTCGTGCTACTCCAAGCCGTTCGAGAAGAAGGACGAGGCGTGCCGGGCCAAGCAGACGGGCGGCCTCTGCGAGTTTGGCAAAGATCCGGACGGGATCTCGTGCAGCTTTAGCTTCAACGTGCTCGGGTACATTGCGATCGACGATGTTGTGGGTATTACGCAGCTCGCCAACGAAAAAACCGGCAAGCCGTACACGGGGTTTCGCGAGTTCTGCCTCGCGGGCAACGTCGAGTACGACTCGGTGACCAAGGAGGGCCTCCCGTTCTGGAAGGACCCGCTGAGCCGCCAAGCCAACGAAGCGCGGTCGCAGGCCATGATGGACATGTACAACCTCATGGTCAACTCGTCCTCGTCCTCGTACATGAAGCCGCTGCCCGCGGTGGCATCGCTCGCCAAGGAAAACCCGCCGTGCTACGAAACCAACAAGCGCTGCGCCGACGCGCCCAACGGGTGCCGCCGCAAGCTCCTCGCCCAAGTGTGCGAGGTCTGCACATCGCCAGCCGCCGACTGCATCAAGCGCCCGGCGTCGGCCGCGCCCTTCCCGACCCTTGCCAAGGTCGAGCGCAAGGTCGATGATGCCAAGCTCATCACCAACACGACGGGGCAGTTTGGCAAAAACTCGACGGGCAAAGCCATGTCGCTTGACACCAAGGACCTCAGCGCGACGACGGCGAGCGCTGCGATGCAGACTGCGTCGACGACCCTCGCAGTGTTGCTCGCTTCCATGGTCCTTCTTGCGCTGTAAGCTTTCGAACATAGACTAATCATGACAAAGCGGCACCCTCGATACTAACTTCGTACTCGCTGCTACTCAAGTTAACGTCAGAGGAGGAGAGGACCAGAACGTCCACGGTGGACCGGTCACGCAGTGACATCTCTTTGTAACCCTAAGTGCAAAGTGATCCGCTCATTCCGACATGCGGCGACATACATCGTGTCGTGGTGGTGCGATATCTGCAAACGTTATATAGGGTGAAACTCATCTTACTAGTTTAGTGTACTTGGTCTAAGGTACGACACGGCGTCGTCAATACTCGTCGTCCTCCATGTCCAAGGTTGGTGGTCCATAGCTTGCCGACGGTTGCGCAGGCGATAGCGGCGTGCCGTCGACGCGGTCGACCCAGTTGTTGGCAGCACGAGGCGGCACAGGTCTCGGTGCGGCGGCGCCCTGCACTGCCAGGTGGAGATCCGGCCGGTACAAGGGCGAGATGTGCATGCAGATGCGGTGGAGGCGAGCCCACGCGTCCGCGGTCGCCGCGGTTTTGGCGTCCGCAAGGCGGGCCGCCGTCGCACGTCCGACCTCAAAGTACAGCACGCCGTGCACATATTCAGTGTCGCCGTTGGGAAGCCGCGCGTACTTGGTGCTCATCTAGACCAAAAGGTTACATGAATGCAAGTTGTCGACGCGTAGCATACCGCCATGGTGCGGGCCGCCGGGAGGATGTCGGGGATCGAAGCCACTTTGCCGAGCTGGATTTGCTTGCTGAGGAGCGCCCAGTGCGTCGCTTGCAGGTAGAGCTCCAGAAGCACGACGCGGTGGGCGTCTTCCAAGCTGCGCGCGGGCAGCTCGAGGTATGTGTGGGGCCCAAAGCGCACCGACCCTTTTGTCCGGACGCACGTAATCTCAAACGGCAGTTGGATCTCGACGCTCGCCTTCTTGAGCTCCTTGACGAGCTCTCGAAAGTGCGAGAGACAGTTGTAGTGCGCAATGCGCAGCTGTTTCATCGTCCCGAGCAGCGTCGTGAGCTTCACCGAGAAGAACCAGAGAATAGAGTAGAGCTCGCGGTCCGAGTACGAAAGGATAATCGGCTCGGACGGCAAATCGGTTGGACCGTCGACGTCCTGCTCGTCGTCGTCGTCATCACTGTGCTGTCCGATGACGTCGTCGTCGTCATCGATAAACGCTGCGCTCTGCGCACCAGGAGCACTCTGCCCTACACCCTCCAGAGGTGGGCTTACGACTGCAGGCGGCGAGGGCATCGCGACCACACGCGGAGACGTCATCGGTGGGTATACGACTGGCCGCGCGGCGTCAGCGACAGGCGGCGGTATCGCAGCTCGTGGCGCCAAACCGTCAATGGCGACTTGCGACGCTGGGACTGCCGCGTCGGCGCGATGCGCGGGTAGCTGCAAGCCTTCGTCCTTGACGTGCGCCCGCTTGGCAACATGCAGTGGGCTCGACGGTGGGCTGTGCGGTGGGCGCTTTGCCCGCGCCGTATCCGGTCTCGGTGCCCCGCAGACGCGGCACGGGCCACGTACGGTCTCTGGCTGGAAGTGTCCGCAGCCCTCGCTTGCACCATCGACACAGGCCTCGTCTTTCGGCAGCACGAGAAGCTCCATGCTGGCCGTGGTTTGGCACACGGCGCAGTGGCGGGTGCTCACGCCGCCGTGGGGACAAAGCGCCGCGGTCCCAGCTTCGCTCAGCCGTCGGTCAAGCGCCGGCGGGATCGAGCAGATCGGGCAGACGTCGTGGAGGTTGCTGTGCGCACAGAGCGCGGTCAACTCGGGCTTGACAGCAACGATGCGCGCTGAGACGCAGGCTTGGCAAAAGTCTTGAGTCGCGCGGCCGTGGGCGCAGAGCGTGGGGGGCGCAGGCTGATCGGTAGCCGCGTCGGCGCTGTGGTCGAGGCCAGAGTCGTCATCGGCGTTGTCTTCTTCGTTGTTCAAGATGTGGTTCACGCTCGCCGATGTCGGCCGCGGCTTGTATGCATCTGTGACGGCAGTCGGTCGACTTGGCGGGATCGTACGCAGCGAGACCTTGCTGCGTGAGAGGTATTCGTGAAGGTTGAGCTTGCGCACAGTAGTCGGCGGTGGCACGGCGGTCGGCTGCTGCGTGTGCGATGGCGGGCGCTCGGGAGGTCGTGTCGCAGGAACGAGCGGCGCTGAAGTTGGAGCCGACTGTGACGATGATGACGCTGATGCTACCGGTGCCAAAGTTGGTGGCGATGGAAGCGGCGGCGACGGGACAGCGGCGCGCTTCGTTGTCGACTGCAACTGGCTCGTCGCGACGTGGATGGCCGGCTCGGCCTTGACGGCCAGCGGTTCGGCCTTGCCCACGCTGTTGTGTGATGGAGGCTCTGGAATCGGGCGAGTGCTACGTGCTGGTGGCGGAAGGCGGGGCTTGGGCGCCGGCTCCTTTGCGGGGAATACGGGCCGTGTCGGGCGTGCGACAGGCGCCTCCATCTCATCGTCGGCATCCGAGTCGTCCGAGTCATCGATGATGCGATTGCTGCGTCGACCAAGCTTGGGCTGTCGTGGCATCTCTTGCTCTTCGGTCTCGTCGTCGTCGAAGGCGCGCGGGCGCTTGCCGGCCGCGCCTCTCGGTACCTCGCGCTGGAGCGTCGTCGCCGGCCTGGCCGCCGCCGGGAAGAGCGCCATGACGCCGCGGTACTGCTGGCACATCCATCGGTCGCAGTAGTGGATGTACGGGTTGCTGATCTCGACGTCGCAGAGCGGGTTTGCACACTGCTTTGCCTTCATCTTCCGCGCCGAACAAGCAACGGATTGCAAGTCGAACACACTATATGATATTGCTGTGCCATTCGGAAATAGTGTCGTGAGGAATCAAAGCGAGGCAGAGACATTGATGGACAGCGAAATTAAGGATAAGAAAGGATAAGACATGATGCACCTCAATGGACGCAAACACTCGAGCGCGTTATTCCGTCCGCAGCGCTATCAGCCATATCTCACGCAGGCCACCGCGATGCATTGTGCGGGCGTCTTGGTCAAGATTTCCGGAATTTCAGGAAACACGTTCCGAGATTCCGGAATTCTGCTCCAGACCAAAACCAACCTGTTCTGCCGGTCCAGCATGATTGGCTACAACGGTAATTTTTGAAATTACGATTCAAAATCCGGAATCTTTGAACGAGTTGGTTGGCATTTGGGATTCTCGACAACTACGCTCTCTCGGACAGGAAGGACGATCCATTCTATCGCTGGCATCTCTCACATGATGACAAGCAATGTACATCAATAGCTCTTACCTTGCATAGTAGCACCACTCCCAATACATGCAGGTGTGTTCCAACGCTGATCCCCGGAGGCCATTGCGAGCAGAGCTCAGGTTGGCACCGCCACGGATTCATCCTTCAGCCCAATCAACACTAGTACTGCATCACAGGACAGTTTGGCCCCTTTCTCGCGAGCCTTACAGAGTGTTGACCAAGTGCACAACCTGCACTCTGCCTTTCAATCCTCGATGATGTCGTCAGTCATTCGCGCGGCCAGAGCCAAAGCCGCCACAACAGGGTCTTGATGCAGCTCTTGATGCCCTTGGCTGCCGCCATTGATTGGTGGCAATGATCAAATGATCAACGACACGGTTCAGAAGCAGGACGAGTGGACCTCTGGCATCCCATGATGGTCGTGTCCAGTCACAACGTCGTCCTGTCGCTCGCGTCGCATCAATCCACGAGTCAGCCTTGCGTTATCACGACAGTCCGACGACCGCCTCGTTGTGACTGGACATTCGTACATGATAAGATCTCAGTGTGCCCTTGCTTGCAACAGAGGTCTCTGGTCCGTCGCCCGAATCATCATCCAGCTTTCGCGGTTGAAGTCGACGGTTGGGAGGAACGCGGCCACGCGTGGGCGCGTCACGGCGTGGCTTCCAGCCCCGAACCAGACGCAAGAGCAGACTCGTAAGCGCACAATAGCAATCTGGTTCTTATCGGTCTTTACCATCATTGCTGCGCATTGTATGTCGCTGACTCGTGTAGCATCACAATCTATGGCTACTCCCTCTTTGAGAAAATAACAGGATTGTATGTAGGGAATTTGTCGCTCATAGGGTTGGGCAACTCTCTCGGTGCAACGAAAGAGGCCACATTTGTAATCCGGCTTCGCGTTCATTCGGCATACAAAGGCCAAGATAACAAGTGGCCACGAACGTCAAATTTAAATTCGAGTCGCGCGGGTGGTGCGGCAAAGGAGCAAGAGACCGCGATGGAAGCCTCGTCGTCGAATGGCATGAAAGGTACCAAGATGGAGACGACGATGGAAGACGACATGGCTGTATGTGTAGACCCCCTTGCCGACCTCTCGGCCTACACGACCAGCGCAACGGCGACGCCCGCGGCAACGGCCGCCGATATCTTCCGCGACGAAGACGCGTTCTCGTGGCTCTTCCTGACCTCCGATTTGGCGCCGCTCGACCAGAGCATCTCGTTCCCGACCGACGAAGACCTCGTGGACCTGACCGAGCCCAACCCGGTCGACATGTCGGCGTCGTCGCAGCCATCGGTCATGTCCACAATCTCGTCTGGCATCCCGCCCTTCCTGAAGCGCGATACGAGCAACAGCCTCGACTCGGTTCTCGCGTCCGACTCGGACTCGGGCTCCGACTCGGACCAGTCGCAGGACAGCGCGTTCTCCAACTCGACCGTTGGCACGTCGGACGTCTTGAACAAGAAGAAGCGCAAGCGGCTCGCACGGAACCGCGACTCGGCCCGCGAGTCCCGGAAGCGGCGCCTCGCGCGCATCCAGCAGAACGAGATTCGGCTGAAGAAGCTCGAGATGGAGAACATTGAACTCAAGATGCGCTTGAAGATCGGGAAGGAAGCCATCTTGGTCGAGCGCCAAGAAAAGGCCACAATCAAGCAAAAGATGGAGCATTTACTCAAGTCGAATGCGAGCGAGGCCGAGATGGCGACGTTCGTCGAGCAGTACAAGGCGCAGTACAGCGACTATGGCGACAAGCGCAAGGAGACGATCGCGTTCCATACGCAGCGCGTGCGCGACCTCCTTTTGCCGACGCAGGTCACCAAGATGTGTCTCTACTCGGTCGAGCAAGGCGACTTTGTGAGCATGAAGAAGAAGCAGGCGGCCGTCGCGCTCGAGTCAGCTGCGCACATGGACCACATCCAGGACGAAGCGCCATCCAACCTCTGGGCAATTCTCGCCAAGGAGCTCGACATCTCGGAAGCCCAGCAGCGCCAGATTTTTGCGCGCCGCGAGAAGATCAAGTACCTCCGCGAGAACCTCAACAAGAACCTTGGCATTCTCCGGTCGTTCGAGAGCGCGACGCAGGAGAAGAACGAGACGCTGGAGGCCGAAGTCGCGCAATTGCAGACGATTTTGACGCCCCACCAAGCGACGCGCTTTATCATTTGGGTCAAAGAGAACCCGGCGTTCATGTACATGCTCGACAAGCTCGTGCAGTCGATCATCCACGGCACGGACGACAAGCCCGCGCCCGCATGAGGATGATACATGCATCGCAGCCGTACGCTTCTTGTTGTCCTAATTTATACGCGCCATGTATCCTCTGCGATTGCTTTCTTGTGCACAAATTGTTGCTCGAAATGTACTCGATCTGCCCCCATACCACAGACGTGCCCGTGGAAACTCGACATTTCTACTGCAAAACATAAACTTGATCGTATTACAAATTATTGTTAGTCGGACGCTGCACGGGTTGAAGGACGTTGATAGCAAGCTAAACGCAAGGCAGAGAGCTTTGTCGTTGATGGACGGCGGCAGGCACAGTGTTGGAGAAGGCTACAGATCGCGAGCGATGGTGTAGATCATAGTGCCAGC